GGGGGGGGGCTTTTAATAATAATCACTGACTGCTGTGAATGTGTAATGCAATTACAGAATGCCGGTTATGAAGCGAGGATCTGTAATTTTGGTGAACTACTGTGAGGGGGTCGGCTGTAATCATGTCCTCATAAATAGGATTATTATTTTTATTTTTTTTTTGGGGGGAGGGGGCAGAAAGCTAAATGAAAGATGTAATCCGTTTTCATTACCGTGCGAAGATTTGTTTTGTGGCGGTCTTCCCGCTACCTCAGTAAGGATTTATCCCCCCCACACACACACACACACACACACACACACAGAGTGAAGGTTAGGTTGTATTGTCCCTCAGTGCTGCTGTCATCCTTGAGCCGCACAAATGAAATGTGATTTATTTGCACTTGATTTTTGCGATGGCAACTTTTACACATCATCCGAGGGAATCGTGCGAGGGCTGCGCCAGCTGCTCTCGGAGTCCAAGAACCTGTGAAGAATTGTTCCTCTTGGATTCGAGCAGATTGCGCAACGGCTTCGAAACACCGAGTACATCATATCAGAGCATTCAGCCAATGCACTTTGATGTTACTCAATGCACGTAAAACCTTCATAAATAAAGACGCACAATCATTCTCCATGTGTTATCCCATGGAAAAAAAATGAAGCGGGACCGCTGCTTTCCATGAAGCCATAGTGCCCCCTGCTGGAGGAAACTTTAATATACTGTAACAGTGGATCAATTGAATCAAGGCACCATTTTTTTTTTATGATTATCATTGTTAATATTATTGCGCGGTTCCTCCTTATTTTCTATGGTGCATCTTAACATTTTTATATTTATTTTAAATTTTAAAATTGTATGAATGTGTTAGATGAGGGGTCACAAACCTTTTTGAAGTTCAGAGCTACTTCTTACTGTACTGATTCATTTAAAGGGCTACCAGTTTGATACGCACTCCTGAAATAACACATTTGCTCATATGGCCACTAAGAATGCTATTATTATGTGCTATTTTGAATATTAAATGATATTTATGAGAGGACACTGATCATCTTAATTATTTCTCACAATAATTAGGAACATATCAATATGCAACACTTTCTAGAAATCTCTGCCAGTGTTCAAATTTTTTAAATGACCAATTCTACAATATACATTCCTAGGAAATCACAATGTCCGATGAGTGGTTAGCTATTTTTTCAAGCAAGCTGGCAGGCGACCCCCCTGTGTTTCTATAATATCTTTTTAATTACCGTAATTCATTATTTTGCATTTGTGTCTATTTTTTTTTCATTTTTGGTGGTCCCAGAGGAGATCCTGCAGAGCTACAAGGCCCACTGGTGGTCTCCCGACGGCCTGCGTCTGGCCTACATGACAATCAATGACACGTTGGTGCCAAAAATGGAAGTCCCCTTCTTCACAGGAACGCCATATCCCAACACTTTGGAGTACCACTACCCAAAGGTAACTCACGACACAAACATGCTGATGTTGTCGTTCGACAGCGAAACCGACCGCACTCTCAGCTTTTGGTGTCGCACCTGAAACCCAAACGGACATATTGTATATCTGCTTTCCTTCGGGCCTCTGCAGGCTGGGGAGGAAAACCCTGTGGTGCACCTGTCAGTGGTGAGCCTCAATGGTCCTTTGCACACTGTGGTCATGAAGAAACCCGATGACCCACGAATCGGGTGAGAGCCCGTTTGAAGGTGTCAGTAATATGCTTAAGTAGCTAAGCTGATCTGGGCAGAGGCTAGTCCAGACTCATCCTGCATGGTCCTTGTTGTTTTTTTGTTCCAGGAGGGAATATTACATCACAATGGTGAAATGGGCCACAAGCACCAAACTGGCTGTCAACTGGCTGAACAGAGCCCAGAACAACTCCATTTTGACACTGTGTGAGGCAACCACGGGTGTCTGCATCAAGGTGCAACATTCTGCAAAATGCGTGGCATTCATTGTTTGGAAGTGAATATAATTAGCAGAAAAGATTCACGCAAAAACAACAGTTGTTTTTTTGTTTGTCTTTTTGGGTTTGTTTGTTTTGTTTTTGCATCCCAAAAAATTATGTAAGACAGCGCATGGGATTTGCACCAAAATATTTTGAAGAAGCTGTTTCGAATGCGATCAGGTTGACCTTAAAAGACTTTATTAGAACTCTTTCAGGGACAGCGGTCACTAGAGTGGACAGCATATCATGCTACAGTATCAGGTTACAGGGTACATGAAAGGGTTAAAAGGACTGGGAAAAATACATACTCCTGCCCCCATGTGGCCAAATAGCAGATATTTCATGTTTAACTTTCCTGACACAGTGAAATACTTCATACAGTAATTGGTGTCAATTTGAAATACAGATCACCAGAAAATGATTGTGGTAAAACATAATCATTTTCTGGTGAACGGTGTGTGTCAGAGGCTGAAAATGACAACAATTCACTTCTGTTCAATTCAAATTCACCACATACGATATGTGTGTGGGACATTGAAAATATATTGTCATAGTAATTTGAATTTACCCCAATTGCATAATTGAATTAAGAAAAAAATATATAGAATGGGGGAAAAAAAAGATTAGAGGTGCAACGATGAATCGATAATGAATTGATTCTTGCATTAACCGATAATTAGTTTTGCTGATTTATTCATCATTTAGTTTTTTTTTTTTTTTAACCCTTTCATAACCTGTAACCTGATAACATGATAAGATGTCCACTGGAGTGACCGCTGTCCCTGAAAGGGTTAAATAATAATTGCCCAAATGCTCAAAATTGCAGCTTCTCAACAGAAAATGTTCTCCGATTTCTGTTGTCCTCCATGAAAACAGGCTGATAACCTTTGCCTTGAATCAAAATAAAACGTTTAATTTTGCTTTGGAAAACAATGATCAACATTTTTTTTCGCCTCTTTTCTGGCACGTGATGGCAAACGATGTTCATTTCTGATTCTTAACTCTGTTCCTAACATTTGAATCACTATCTAACCCATTGACACTCGCCGATCATTTTTTTTTTCACCAAAAAGAATGCACGGTAAATTTATTACTTGATGTAACTTTGTGACTGAGAAAGTCTAAATAATATCCTAATGTGACTTTTAGAAACATGAAGATGAGAGCACAAGATGGTTGCACAGACAGGTAGGTGCGAAACATCGCCGGTGTGCGATTGTAGCACACAAACAAAACGATGTGCGCCCGGTGTACGCACCGTAAACACGCACAATTTCCTTCCTGGCTGCAGAACGAAGCGCCGCTTTTCTCACACGACGGACACAAGTTCTTTTTCACGCGAGCGATTCCTCAGGGCGGGAGAGGAAAGTTCTTCCACATTTCTATGTCCACCTCCATGGTATGGTATCGCACCGTTGGATGTTTCTCCTCGAGAGGTGCGATGTTGACTTTGTATTCGTCCTAGCCTAACACGAGCTTGGACGTCCTTCAATCGCTGACGTCGGGAGACTGGGACATCACCAACATCCTGGCCTACAACCACCAGAGGAACCTCATGTCAGTTTGGTGACTTACGAACGTACACCTTTGCGGTGTCAAACTATCGGCGCTCACTTCTGCGGCTTCTTTTCCAGATACTTCCTGAGCACAGAAGACGACCCCAAACGGAGACACTTGTACAGGTAGGAGCTTCCTCTGCGCCCGTTGCTGTGCGAGTGCAGTTGGCTTTTGGAGTTAGCGTGAAAGGAGCATAAAGTCACATGCGTACAACGGCGTTTTCCAGCACGGACACGATTCCTCCGTTCAACCGCTGCTGCCTGTCCTGCCAGTTCAAGTGCGGCTACGTGGACGTGTCATTTAGTCACAACATGCAATACTTTCTACTCAGCTGTAAAGGTGAGTCACCTCCAAGCCAGATCCGATTTATGATTTTTTTGTTTCCTCTGCTAGGGGGGGAGGAAAACCCCCAGCTATTTGCGGTTTTAATGTCACAAGATGCCACAAAAGACCAAGCTTACAGCAAAGTAGTAATTGCTGTGAAGTTAGCACGTTGAAGGGATATACTGTATCTCAATTTCTCTACGATCTTTCTTTGCCGGGAAGGAATTAAGTTTAGCCTGGGTTGTTAGCGAAAGTTGTGACAGAAAAAGTCTTGGATGTTGTTGCTATTGGCTAGTAAGATAACAAACAATGGAGGTCTTGTGATGGCTCTGCAAATTCTATTTTGTATGGGTTAAAAAGGCATCACTTTAGTTGCACTTGATCGAAATCATAACAAGAAGCCCTTTCAAGCACCCTGCAACCTGATAACATAATAAGCTGTCCACTGTGGTAACCGCCGTCCCTGAAAGGATGACAGTGTTATGTTGTAAGTTGGCTTTGAAATGATATTGTGATATTGATTTTAAACTATCAGAAAAGGTTTAAAAAAATGTACATATATCTATCTAGATATCTCTATCCATCCATTCATTTTCCGATCCGCTTGATCCTCACAAGGGTCGTGGGGGGGATGCTGGTGCGTATCCCAGCTGTCTTCGGGCAGTAGGCGGGGGACACCCTGAACCGGTTGCCAGCCGGACACACACAGACGAACAATCATCCGCACTCACACTCACACCTAGGGACAATTTTAGAGTGTTCAATCAGCCTGCCATGCATGCATGTTTTTGGGAATGTGGGAGGAAACCAGAGTACCCCGAAGAAAACCCACGCAGGCACGGAGAGAACATGCAAACTCCACACAGGAAGGCCGGAGCTGGAATTGAACCCGCTACCTCTGCACTGTACGGTCGATGTGCTAACCACTGGACCACCAGGTCGCCTAGATATATCTAAATAGATATAAATACTGTATATATAACTTTGTTTTTTCTTCTTCATAGGGCCCGACATTCCCAGTGTGGCCATTTACAGAACAGAAGACAAACAGAGTAAGAGTCCACTCTGAAATCTTTTATATTTGCCGTAACTTAGCTGTACAGAATATCATGCGCAGCTCGTCTGGCGCCTTTATGTGCAGAGCTATTGGACGTGGAGACGAACGAGCGAGTCAACATCACGTACAACAACATGCAGATGCCAAGAGTGGAGTACAAGACCATCACCATCGACGACTACTGTAGGCGTTTGAAAACAGCGACAGTACCATACGAGCTTTCCAAAAATAAAATAAAATAAAATGAAATTAAACAATAACTCCTTTCACTGTTTTGTGTGTGCTGCAGCCCTCACCATGCAGATTCTGAAGCCGGCTGGATTTGTAAACACAGCCCATTACCCCTTACTGCTGCTAGTGTAAGTACGACGAAACGCAAATGTCTACACTTGTTCACGTTGTCGCCTACATTTGGGAGCTGACATCTACAGAAGTTGAATCTGCAACATTCAAGTTATTTTTATCGATTGATTTATTCTCCCTGTTGACTCAGTGAACCGCTTAAGCGAGACCCCACAATGTCGAGGGAGTTAATTGTTAGCTTCTGAAACTCGAGAATCAGGAAGGGACACCTCGGCCATGTGACTTAAAGCTTGACTTTTGTCTTCTCCCAAAACACAGCGACGGGACGCCCGGCGGCCAGATGGTCACCGAGCAGTTCCAGGTGGACTGGGCCACCATCCTGGTGAGCAGCTTCAGCACGGTGGTCGTCCGCTTCGACGGCCACGGCAGCGGCTTCCAGGGGACCAACCTCCTCCACAAAGTGCACAAGAGGTTGGGGAAGCTGGAGGAGCGGGACCAGCTGGAGGCGCTCAGGTCAGACTTTTTTGTGGATTCCAAATTCCAATTTGAGTTTTTTTTCTTTTTTCTAGCTAAACTGCAGTTTGTTTATGTATCCTGTGTCATTGCCAGGTTCATATCCAAAGAGCATTACATTGACAGGACGCGTATGGGAGTGTATGGAAAGGTAATATTTTGATTCTGCAGGTCTTTCTCAAGCGAAAAGTACATCTAACATGTCCATCTCAATTTGTTGTGCAGGCTTATGGAGGATATTTAGCCACTCTGCTGCTGAGCTCCGATGAGTTCACTCAGCTTAAATGTGGAACTGCAGTCTCGCCCATCACAGATTTCGAGCTTTACGGTGAACTCTTGGTTTCCTATGGGTTACTGGGCAAGGCTCATTCAGATTATGCATGTCTCTGCCAGATATTGTGATACAGATATAACACGAACCTAATTTCTACTACGATAGAATAAAATAAAATTTGACCCTTTCATTTAATAGTGAACCCATCACATTAACTTCCTTGGAGGTCTACAGGTATCTCAAGGAATGGATAACTGGGAACGTAAAAGTAATTTCACAAAATCTATAAAAAATGCAAAGTACAGTATTTGTTATGTATGAACACTATTGCGAAAGTCGTTAAATTAAAAGAAAGTACCGTATTTTCCGCACTATAAGGCGCACCTAAAAGCATTCAATTTTCTCAAAAGCCGAGATTGCGCCTTATAATCCGATGCGCCTTATAGATGGATCAATATTCTGATTTCTCGGACGTAGTATTTTAAATGTTCTGTAAGGCGCTTTGTTACAGCTGCAGCAGTCGTGAAAGCTCAATATAAAAAAACAGTATTATATTGTATTATATTCCCTTCAGCGTAGCTCCATCTAGTGGATGCATAACGCAACCACAGCCACTATTGTAGCTTCTATTCTATGCGCCCTATATACATGAACACAGTTTTAACCTAGGCCATTCATTGAAGGTGTGCCTTATATTTCGGAAAATACGGTAAGTGGAGGCAAACCGGTTTTGAACATTTGATTACTTTAACAAATTAACTTCCCAGGTTCATGTATACATTTTTTTGTTGATGTCGTTAAAATAAATACAAAATGTCCGAAAAATTCAAATAAACTAACTAAAAATAAACAGAAACATAGCAGTTTGAAAATGAACTTACAGGTCATTTAATATCATTTGAACACATCAATGAGGTCTCTCGTCAAGTTTCACACCTGCTTCAGCATCAAGCTGGCTCCTTTTTATGAACACAGCCATGTGGCAGTACAGGAAAAGAATTCCATTACGTTATCTGCTGTCTCAATAGTTTTTTTTTTCTCCTTTCTGAACCACAGTGTCGGCATTTTCGGAACGATACCTGGGCTCAAAGACTGACACCAGAGTATACACGGTATCAATTTAATACCTTTTTTTTCTCCAATCAGTCTTCAAGTAAGAGTGTGTTGATGACTGAGCATTCCCCCCCCCCACCCCCTCACCTCCCCAGATGTCAAATTTAGCTCACAGAGCAGGTCAGCTGTTGCAGAAGCAGTACTTGATCATCCACCCCACTGCAGATGGTATCCAGTCACCCTTTAAACTGTTCTACAAAGACTATAAGATACCTTGTTGTTTTTGTTTTTTTTTAACTGTTTTAATTCTCTCTGTCTATAGAAAAAGTTCACTTTCAGCACACCGCCAAGTTTATCAACCATTTAATCAGCAAGAAAGCCAATTATACGCTTCAGGTAAGATGTGTGCGTTTGTGTGTGTGCGTGTGCGTGTGTGCGTTGGGTTTGCTGAAGAGGTTTCGAATGGATCGTCTTCATTGGCAGCTGATACACCAACCGGACAGTAATCACATTTTTTCTCAATATTTTAAAATATTTTTATTTTTGTTTTTGTTTTTTTTTTTCTCCCGACATTTTTTGTGGAAAACACATTGAATGTTTATCACTGTTTGTTTGTTTTTTTAAAACTTTTTTAATGAAGTTTAAAAAAAAAAAAAAACATTATTATTGGCCCACCCACACATATTTCAATGGGTGTCAGTTTATGCAGATTTTCACTATTTGTGGGCCAGCCTCGACTATAATCTTGAAATGATAAAGTTGTTCCCCTGATCAGATCTACCCGGACGAGGGCCACTTCCTGCACAACGAAGACACCCAGAAGCACTTGAGTTGCTCACTGGTCAACTTTTTCGGGGAGTGTTTCCGGCTACCCGAAGTGCCAAAGGACGAGCAGCAGGAAGTGGACGAGGACGACAGCTAAACCTGATAACCGAGCCACCCCCGCCTCCCGCCCTGGCCAGTTCACACAGCACAATATGCAATGCGAAACAAAATAAAGCCACCCGAGTGTGAAGTGTCCAACCTGCACAGGGCTCTGCTTCCACCCTCCATGCTGTCCTCGGCTGCTGCCCACCAGAGGGAAAGTGAAAGCATCCTCCTGCGCCTTTAAAAGAATCAGACGTTTATGGTGCCAGTGAGGACGAATGGAAAACCCTTGCAAACTGGTGAGACCTGCGGGAATATTGACAACCTGCAGGCCAGAAAATGAAAACTCAGTGGAAAAATGAGTAGGTACAATCTAATGCGTCCCGTAACCAAACCTGTCATATTTTGACACAGAGTCTAATGCTCAGTTTTGATCGTGATTTCAATTTTGGCTTCTTGTGACCGACTAGCAAAGATTTGCATCAGCTTTCAAATAAGGAATGTTCATCCACAAACTCAAGGACATATATTGCTCCTAATCTGTGGGGGGGACTCGATTTCAATAGTTTGACACTTTCTTCATCTACTCTTTTTATTTTCATTTAAGTCTATCATCATGTGTGCACCACACTGCCTCTAAGAGGCCAAGGTATGCACAGCACCTGCTGCTGTTTTTAATTGATATTTTCCTCTTTATTTTACTTGTTACTAATTTAATTTGTGGTTGTTGTTCTATTCTTAAACACCAATGTTAAAAATGCACTTCAAATTAATTCCTGGCAAAACCGGCGGTGAATTTTGTTGAGCGGGGTTGTTGGTATCTGTTGAATGTAACTAATAAAGTGACTTGCAATCTAACTTGGTTACTTTTCAAATCAAGCAATCGGTAAACTAGTAAATATACTTGACTTTAAAACATTCATTTTAAAGTCTAGTATATCAAGGAAGTAACTGTGTTACTTTTTAAGATGTGTAAGGCTTAAACTCGACCTTTACCATTTACTCATTTTAACCATGTGAATCAAAACTGAGCATTATTATCTTTGTGAAGGCACAATTTTGAATAGCGTTTTTATTTTGGATGCCAAGACTGGCAAGAGTGTACCTCGTCTTGTGGTCTGTGAGTTTGATATGGAAGTATACATTCAAAATAAAATCAGGTTAATGTTCAATAGTTCAATAGATTTGTTGGATGGAGCAGTGAAAGGACTGAGATGACACCTACGGGAAACCAGCACTTTCCAGTCCAAAATATCGCGCCCTATCGACACGGAGACTGAATGACCAGTTTCTGGTGACCTTGCCAATGAATTCACTGGTTGATGTGTTGACGAGTACAGTACTCTCTGTTTGATGTTTTCCCGTCCTATTCGTGCTGTGTGTCTTTTGTACAAAGGAGTATTGAGGAGAAACTCAAAAGAAAAAAAATTCCACTCTGAGACTGAAGTCGTAATATTATGAAAGCAGTTTTTAAAATTATTAATTCAGCTTTTAGAGTATACCACTTTTTTTTTATCGACATGCACATTTTCCGTTTTTTATGTAAGATTATTATTGCGATTGGCTGTCCCGGGACCCTCGTAATTAATATTTTTTTATTTGGAAGGTGGCCCTAATACTCCTTTGTATGTTTGTGTGGCTGCATCAGTTTGACAGATCAAAGGCACAATGTTGTAGTCCATCAAATGTGTAAAAATATTCAATAGTGTGCACTTTTTTTGTGTTCTTTTTAGTCACCGTGCCTTAAAAGTGGGAAGACGTTCAATGTTCGAAGCCCACTTGACAACAGAAGTGAGGGAACAGGATTTTAGTTCTCTCTGGGAGCAAGAAAAACTATTTTACAGAAAAATCGGTCAACTTTGACACATCTAATATGTGCGTGGAAGATATTGTACTGGTTTGTAAATGTAGATTTACAATCAGCTTCTCGGGAGAGTCCTCTATGTTGAAGTATCATTATGTTGTGAATTTTGTGTGCTCAATGGCTAAAATTATCTCTCTCAAAGTCAAATTACTTGGCGTCAGTGGTTTGTAGTCATCTAATGTACAAAGTGTATAAAACAAGACATTGTTGGAGTCTTTATGTCGTATGTGCAACTTGTACATAAAGCATTTTGAACCTTCAACTTCGGGCGGCTTTGTTTTTCGTCTTTTTTTTTTTTTTTGCGGGTGGAGCCAACTTCTGTTACGGAAAAACAGCTTACTCTAGTGGACGATGGCAGCATTGCAGGCAACATAACAAAAGCAAATCTGAAATGTCCCGAAGGAGATGCTGCTGTATTTATCTCTGATGTTTATTGTATTGCAACTAGTCAGCAGGATACTGTCGGCCGAAAGCAGTGACAACAACGGCACACAGAACTCCCGTAGAGCAACAATACTATTATTTGTGTAACACGCTGGCTTCCTCGTTCTCCGCCAATCACAGTCAAACTCGAACGCAAATCTGGAGTGCGGTGCCTTCAAAGACCTCGGAATTTAGAAACACCAACATCATCCACTTGTAAAATGGTCACCATGTTCTTCAGTTTACTCGTAAATGTTACGACCCAAACAATTGATTAATTAATAATAAAGAGATGAAAATGCAAAGTTGCGATATTTACAAAAGACCATTAATGAACCACATTTTTTTACCTCAACCTAAATAAAAAAAGTAGGGTTTCAAACTAGGGTTGGAGTTTCAAATTTGGGCTTCAAAGTAGGTTCAGTGTTTTATATTAGGTTTTGGATTGGGGTTTTACGTTAGCATTTCAAAATAGGGTTAGAGTTTCAACAGAGTTACAACCTAGGGTTAGGATTTCAAATTAGGGTTTTATACATGAGTTAGGGTTTCACATTTGGGATTCAAATTAGGATTTTTATATTGGTTTAGAGCATCTGGCCCGCCACATCATTTTATGTGGCCCGCGAAAGCAAATCAAGCATGTCAAGTTCCATGATGGTTGCTAAAGTCTGAACCAAAATTTCAAGTTGTCATATGTAATCCACAATAACAGTCATTATTCATGACTTCTGATTTGAAAGCTAGTTAGCCATCAATTTTTGTGCGCTGTGTATGTAATATGTGGAGGGGATTAAACATATATAAGGTTTCCCAAAATTCATAACGGCCCTCCAAGGAAAACCGGAACTACAATGTGGCCCCTGACAAAAATGAGTTTGACACCCCTGGTATAGAGTTTCAAATAGGTTAGAATTTCAAATTAGGGCTTCAAATAAGGGTTAATATTTCAAAGTAGTGTTAGGTTTCAAATTAGGGTTTTAAATTTCAATTTGGGCTTCAAACGAGTTAATTTTTTATGGTTGATACTTGAGTGAGGGTTTAAACTTTAGATTCAAACATGGGTTTCAAGCCCAACCTTAATTTGAAACTCTGCGGCCCCTATTTTAAAACCCTGCTTCTCAACAGTAATCCTAGTTTGAAAGACTTAATTTGAAAATCCATACCCGATTTCGGAATCACAATATGAAACCCTCACCCAAGTAAAAAAACCTCAACCCTATTTTAAATCCTAACAGGGTTCCCACTCTTCCACTTGTTTTTTATTTATGGACCTTTTCAGGAATTTTGAGGGCTAATTGAGCAATTTTTTCAAGGACTTTTCTCCATTCAGCAGGGGATTCACGGTGGATTTAATGACCAGAAAGCCACATATCACTGAGCTGGTGATTCAAATCATTGCTGCCAAAGGAAGGGCACATCTTTATTTTTCGGGGCAATCAGCTAACCCTTTATTTGACAAACTGTATGTCAAATTGGCTCGAAATGACCCGAAGTGATGACGTGATCATCATCGGAACTGATCGGAGACGGTGGGAAGAGTAGAGCGGGAACCAGGAAGGCATGTAGCCTGACAGCGGAAGTTTCTGTTGATCACCTGACTGGTAGTCGAATGGTTAATGCGTCGGCGTTGCACTGTGTAGGTGCAGGTTTTGATTACAGCTCCAATCTTCCTGTGTGTTCTCAAAAACATGCATGGCTATCCATTTTCTGATCGCTTTCCCCACAAAAATATTCGCGCTCACACTCACACCGAAGGAAAATATAGAGCATTTATTCCCTCGCTGGTAGTTAAATGGTTAGTTCGTTGGTCCCGCGCTGCGGAGGTGCAGATTTGGATTCCAGCCTTCCTGTGCGTTCTCAAAAATGTGCGTGACCATCCATTTTCTGATTCTCTTCTCCGCACAAATATCCGTGGTCACACTCACCAAGGTACACTTCACAAAACGCCTTACGATACATGGTCGTTTTTTTCACCCCAAAAAACACCTGACTATACATGGTCGTTTTTTTCGGCCAAAACGCCTTACTATACATGGTCATTTATTTCGGCCCAAAACGCCTTACTATAGATGGTCGTTTTTTTCGGCCAAAACGCCTTACTATACATGGTCATTTATTTCGGCCCAAAACGCCTTATTACATGGTCATTTTTTTTGGCACAAAACGCCTTACGATACATGGTCGTTTTTTTTAAGCCAAAAACGCCTTAGTATACATAGTCGTTTTTTTCAGCCCAAAACGCCTTACTATAGATGGTCGTTTTTTTCGGCCAAAACGCCTTACTATACATGGTCATTTATTTCGGCCCAAAACGCCTTATTACATGGTCATTTTTTTTGGCACAAAACGCCTTACGATACATGGTCGTTTTTTTTAAGCCAAAAACGCCTTAGTATACATAGTCGTTTTTTTCAGCCCAAAACGCCTTACTATAGATGGTCGTTTTTTTCGGCCAAAACGCCTTACTATACATGGTCATTTATTTCGGCCCAAAACGCCTTATTACATGGTCATTTTTTTTGGCACAAAACGCCTTACGATACATGGTCGTTTTTTTTAAGCCAAAAACGCCTTAGTATACATAGTCGTTTTTTTCAGCCCAAAACGCCTTACTATAGATGGTCGTTTTTTTCGGCCAAAACGCCTTACTATACATGGTCATTTATTTCGGCCCAAAACGCCTTATTACATGGTCATTTTTTTTGGCACAAAACGCCTTACGATACATGGTCGTTTTTTTTAAGCCAAAAACGCCTTAGTATACATAGTCGTTTTTTTCAGCCCAAAACGCCTTACTATAGATGGTCGTTTTTTTCGGCCAAAACGCCTTACTATACATTGTCGTTTTTTTTTGGCCAAAAATGCCTTACTATTCGCGGGTGTTTTTTTCGGCCCAAAACGCCTTATTACATGGTCATTTTTTTTGGCACAAAACGCCTTACGATACATGGTCGTTTTTTTTTAAGCCAAAAACGCCTTAGTATACATAGTCGTTTTTTTCAGCCCAAAACGCCTTACTATAGATGGTCGTTTTTTTCGGCCAAAACGCCTTACTATACATGGTCGTTTTTTTCGGCCCAAAACGCCTTACTATACATGGTCGTTTTTTTCGTTCCGAAACGCCTTACTTTTCATGGTCGTTCTTTTTGGCCCAAAACGCCTTTCTATACATGGTCGTTTTTTTCGTTCCGAAACGCCTTACTTTTCATGGTCGTTCTTTTTGGCCCAAAACGCCTTTCTATACATGGTCGTTTTTTTCGGCCCAAAACGCCTTACTATACATGGTCATTTTTTCGTTCCAAAACACCTTACTTTTCATGGTCGTTCTTTTTGGCCCAAAACGCCTTACGATACATGGTCGTTTTTTTCGGCCCAAAACGCCTAACTTTCCATGGTCGTTTTTTTCGGCCCAAAACGCCTAACTTTCCATGGTCGTTTTTTTCGGCCCAAAACGCCTAACTTTCCATGGTCGTTTTTTTCGGCCCAAAACGCCTAACTTTCCATGGTCGTTTTTTTCGGCCCAAAACGCCTAACTTTCCATGGTCGTTTTTTTCGGCCCAAAACGCCTAACTTTCCATGGTCGTTTTTTTCGGCCCAAAACGCCTAACTTTCCATGGTCGTTTTTTTCGGCCCAAAACGCCTAACTTTCCATGGTCGTTTTTTTCGGCCCAAAACGCCTTACTATACATGGTGGGTTTTTTTCAGCTAAAAACGCCTTGCGAAACAATGTTGTTTTTTTTCGGCCCAAAACGCCTTACTATTAATGGTCGTTTTTTTCGTTCCGAAACGCCTGACTTTTCATGGTTGTTTTTTTCGGCCCAAAACGCCTTACTATACATGGTTGTTTTTTTTCAGCCTAAAACACCTTACCATACATGTTTGTTTTTTCGCCTCAAAAAGCCTTACTATAAATGGTCGTTTTTTTCGGCCCAAAAGGCCTGACTATACATGGTCGTTTTTTTTGGGGCCAAAAACGCCTGACGAAACATGGTCGGTTTTTTCGGGCTAAAACGCCGTACTATACATTTTCGGCTAAAAATGCCTTACTATACATGGTCGTTTTTTTCGACTAAAAACGCCTTAATATACATGGTCGGTTTTTTCGGGCCAAAACGCCTTACTATACATGTCGTTTTTTTCGTTCCAAAACGCCTTACGATACATGGTCATTTTTTTCGGCCCAAAACGCCTTACTATACATGGTCGTTTTTTTCGTTCCGAAACGCCTTACTTTTCATGGTCATTTTTTTTCGGCATAAAACGCCTTACGAAACATGGTCGTTTTTTCCGGCCAAAAACGCCTTAGTATACATGTTCGTTTTTTTCGGCCCAAAACGCCTTACTATAAATGATTGTTTTTTTCGGCCCCAAAGGCCTTACTATACATGGTCGTTTTTTTGCGGCCAAAAACGCCTTACTATACATGGTCGTTTTTTTGGGGCCAAAACGCCTTACTATACATGGTCGTTTTTTTGGGGCCAAAACGCCTTACTATACATGGTCGTTTTTTTGGGGCCAAAACGCCTTACTATACATGGTCGTTTTTTTGGGGCCAAAACGCCTTACTATACATGGTCGTTTTTTTGGGGCCAAAACGCCTTACTATACATGGTCGTTTTTTTGGGGCCAAAACGCCTTACTATACATGGTCGTTTTTTTGGGGCCAAAACGCCTTACTATACATGGTCGTTTTTTTGGGGCCAAAACGCCTTACTATACATGGTCGTTTTTTTGGGGCCAAAACGCCTTACTATACATGGTCGTTTTTTTGGGGCCAAAACGCCTTACTATACATGGTCGTTTTTTTCGGCCCAAAACGCCTTGCTATGCATGGT